TACTGCGAGCTCATCGGCTCCGCGCTCCTGCGCCACGGCCCCGCTGCACACCCCGTCCTGGCCCAGCAAGTGCTGAGGGTGAGTCTGGGCCTCCTGCACCCCGACCTGGGCAGGGTGACACCCACCAGGACCTGCTGGGGTGGGAGTGGTTGGCAGCTCTGAGCAGCCCCCCAGGGTTTGTTGCCAAGTACAGCAAAGCCAACACTTCCACAGGGTTTCTAATCCCCGAGGATTTAGGGTAGAAAACAAAGGTATTATGTTGACTGCCAAGTAGGAGCAGAGTTATTTGGAAACAAAAGGATGTTTCTAAGTCTGGTGGGGTTTTCTAAACTTCTAAATGTCACAGCCTTAAGAAGTGAAGTCTAAGTGCACATTTCTCCTTCAGCACATCTACAATCCTCTTTCCCTCCTGAGGGGTGGCACTGAGAGGGAGCATGGCCCACTTTGTAGCATCAAGTGCAGCCCCTCTACTTCCTGAGCAGAGGGGTGAGGCCAAGTGTCCCAGGTCCCATGGGAAGGTGAGGCTCTCACAAGACCAGGGCAGTGCTGAGGCTGGTAGTCACCTTCCTCCAGCTTTTAGGACCAGGCTGGATGGGACTTTGAGAAACCTGGTCTAGTGGAAGGTGTCTCTGCAAAAGGCAGGTGTGTTGGAACAAGATGAGCTTTAAGGTCCCTTCCAACCCCAAACCGTTCTGTGATGCTATGAAATGCACTAAAGCCGTGGTGCTGTGAGGGGAGGGGGCAGCAAGATGCCTGTCTGAAGTGGGTGCTGCTGAGTTCACCCAAAAGTTGGCTGGCACTGCTTCCTCACCCCCTCATCGAAGCCTATTTGCTGTCTAACAGCCTTTTAGATCTGCCATTCTGCTGGGGATAATGCTTCTCCTGGGAGAAAACACTTTCATCTGAAAAACTAGTGCATTCGTAGATGCTCTTGTCTTTGATGTTCTAGACTGTGTTACAAATTATGATACACATTAGTGTTTGATTAAGACTTCCCCTCTTTTGAAGCTGGGGATGATATACATCCAGGTGCTGGTTCATTAATACTGGATCAAAGTGCACATAAACTTTTGGATTAAACATTCCTCCCATTTAGGAGTAATCATGCTTATAATTTCCTTTTTCCTGTGATTGATTTAGGATGAGCATAGGTGTGTTTGTAAAGAGAAGGGACAGTAGGTAGTGCAGGCTCCTGGTTGGCTGCAGGGTTACTTTGCTCTCATGGCCAGTCCCACTCCCAAGCTGGGGTCCAGTTGTGCAACTCCTGTCTCTCTGTAAACTCACAGACCTGGGAAGTGTGCTTTGTGCTGGTTTAGAGTTTGTGTTTCAAAAGCTCAGGAATGGAAAGAAATCGCTGCTTGGGACTGCTGCAGAAAGGAATAGCTGAGTCTTGTGTGGCTGTGGAAGGTGGCTGAGCTGCAAAATCACCTCTGGGTGGCTTTTGGTGGAAGGCATCAAGGTGGAAGCCTTGTAGCAAAGCATTGAAGATAAGGCAGCATGAAGTAGCCAGAGGAAACTTGAGAAATCACCAAGAATCCTAGAATGGTTTGGGTTAGACCTTAGAAATCATCTAGTTCAAACTTCCCTGCCATGGGGGACACCTTCCACTAGATCAGAGGCTGATATCAGCAAGAGAAAATTCAGTAAAGATGTGGATGAACAGCAGTGCTCCCCTCACCCAGCTGTGTTAAAACTGCATCCTTGTCTAAACCACTCCTTCAGACAGGGAATTAGCTCTGCAGAGAGAGCCCTGCATCTCACCATGGACTCCTGGGCTGCCCCAGAAGAGCCTCTTGCTCCATTGATGGGAGCTGGAGCCCCAAGTCACTGAGATGGCTGCAGCCAGGGCAGCACAGACCCCTCTTCTGCAGGAGAAATTAAACACACAGCAGCAATACTGCAGAGAGGAACCTGGGGGAGATAGTGGAGCATGGAAAAAATACTGAGCAGCAGCATAACAGGATGCTGTTACAAAAGAAAAAAAAAAAAACTCCACCAATGTTATAGTGTTATTCTGGGTTGTGAGAGTACAACTGGCATATCTGAGACAAGGATGTGATAATCCCCCTGTGCTGGGGTCTCAGGGGTCTTGGCTGGGGCCTGTTTGGGCTGCTGCATGTGGAGATGGCTAAATTGGAGTGTGTGTGGGAGTGGAGAGCTGGGGTGATAAGAGATTGACAAGAAAATGACCTCTGAAGAAGGCCTGAGGGTTATTTCTTCTGAGCAAGATATGGTGGGGGAGAAAGGGGTATGAGGGATGTGATAACAGCCCTCCAGCATGCAGGAGGCTGCTCGTGGGGGATGCTGCCTGGCTCCTCTCTGCTTCCATGGGAGCAGGGATAGAGAGGCTTAATTTGCAGTAGGGAAGATTTCACTTAGATATTAAGAAAATACTCTTTAGCTGTAAGGACATCAAGCATCAGGACAAGCCTGGGAGGCTGTGAAATCTTCTCAGAGATTTGTAAATGCAGATCAGAAAAACACCAACTACCATCCATCCTCATGGGGTAGGTGAGGAGCTTATGAACTGCCCTGGGAGCTGGGCTCTTTCCAGGGCTTCTGGTGGCGTGTCCTGCAAACCTGCCAGTGCCCCAGCCATGGCTGTTAGGGGGGATTAAAGCCACTCATTTTCTTCAAGGGGGGAAAGGATGGTGATAGTTACCTGTCTCTTTGATGTGAGGAATATCTTTGACACAGTATTTTGGCATCTCTGTGGAGGTGCTGAGCCAGCCCTGCAGAGTCTGTGGGGCAGGGGATGGGCCAGCACCTCTGTGGTGATATGGGAGAGGGAATAAATCCTGCACAAGAGGCTGGTGTTATTTTAACCCTGTATTACAAAATGATGCTGTTTTCCCGAGCCCGTGTGCCCGGCCACGAGGGATCCCTGTGGATCTGACACGTGTGCTAATCCCTGCTGTCCCCCTGGCCCTGCAGCTGGCTGAGAGGCTGAAGCTCTGTGACCCTCTGCTCCTGGAGATGCCAGAGCAGGAGCAGGCACTGGAGCCCGACTGGCTGGAGCAGCTCCGAGCCTGCTGCCGGGAGTGGGAGGTAAGGAGGATGCAGTGGGACAGCTGCTCTGTGCTGTGGTTTGTCTGCAGGAGCATCCTCCTCCTCTTCCCTTCCCAAGCCGAGGGGATGGAGGTTCAAAAGCTGTTCTTCTTCTCTGGCTTGTGAGCTCCGAGATGTGATTTCTGCTCTGGGACCTGCAGATTCAGTGGGAGCAAGGGGCTTGCAGTGCCTGAGGGCTGCAGAGCTTCACAAAGGGCAAAACTCTCTTTGTTTTGGCTCCAGGAGGGCAGGCAGGGGCTGGTGGGTGAGTGATGGTCTCCCTTTGCAGGGAGGACATTGCAGAGGTCACTGGTGGGGGTGTCACCTTGTGGATAAACTCTGGGGTCTTTTAACTATGGTCTGGTGCTTGGATTAATGCTCTTCATTCAGATTTCACATCTGCTTTTGGTTTTGTGTCATTTCCCATCTCGTTTCCCCTCCTGCCTGCTCCCAGGGGTGCTGCAGCCCCTCCTGCTTACTGGGAAAGAGCTGTGTCCATGCTGGTGTGGGTCTCTGCTGCAGCCTGGGGTGGGCTATGAGCCCAAATCCATGAGCACTCTGCTTTCCATTGCATTGGCCTCATGCTTTCCTTAGTTTTTGTCTTGTGCCACCCTTTTTCCTATCAATAATACTGTGTTTTCCCCCTGCAGGTGGAAGATGATCTTCCTCCAGAGGTGGCACCCACTCAGCTGGAGCTGCCCTGTGCTGTTCTGCCAACAGCAGGTAAATAAAACAAAGCAGCAGCTTGTGGGCTCCCCAGTGGGCTCCCCCTGCCTGGAGCTGTGCTGCCGTGGGCTGGGAAGCAGCTTCCCAATCCCTGGAGTTTTTTACCAGCAGTAACTCCTTGCATCCCCACAGAGCAGAAAGGCTGCTCCTGCCTGGATGCATCCCTCAGGCATGGGCTGCAAAGCGAGGGCTCGATGCTCATGTCCTCACACAGAGTCTGAGTAATTTGGCCTAATTACAACAGCTTTGGGGTCCCTCTGGGTGCCGTGGGAGGAGAAGAGGAGCTGAGAGTGGGTGCTGGATGAGCCTCCCAGCTGAGCCTCAGGGGAGACAGCCCCATTCCCTGGCTGTCCTCTGAGGGTGCAAACTGGAGCTGAACTAAAGGGATTTCACACTTAGAGAGCAAAGGATTCAGGAAGGAGCTCATCCTGCTGTGTGCCAGGCTGCAGGATGCCTGTTGCTGAAGCCCCAGCATTTCTGCTTCCCTGCTGCCTCTTTGATCCCTTTGCTTCACCCTTGGGTGACCCCAAGAGTCCCCTCCTGTGCCAGCCCACCCAGAAGGCTCAGAGACATCAAGAGGAGGGACACCACCATGCCCTGGTGGCAAGGAAAGTGCATGGGGCTTTTCTTTCCCAGCTGGGCAGTCATCCATCGGGATGTCCCACTGAGGAGAAGTCAGGTGTTGCTTCACATTCACCTCCATCAGCAGGATGCTCCTACACAGCCCCCTGCTCCTTGGATCTGCCTTTTACTGGGAATGCTGGCACTGAAGTGTGGAGGGCAGAGGCTGGTGCAGACAGGATGAAACACAGCTAATTCCTTCAAGCCATTTCTTCCTATGAGCTTTCCCTGCTGCTGCCAAATTCCTTTTCAAAGGGCTCTCCCAGGCAGTAAAAAGGATCATCAATCCTGATTGCCTTCTGCTGCTATCATGGCTGAGACTGTGATCTTCCTTCCCTGGAAGGAAGTTGCAGGTATGATGATCCCATTGGCTTGGCTTCTCCAAGCAGGTCTGCTCCATGTGGTCTCCACAGCCCACCTTCCCTGTGCTTGGCCCTTTTCTTCATTGTGAAGGCCATCCAGAGCCACCACCTGAGGGGCTTGCACGCAGAGAAAGCTAGCTTGGTGCTGAATCCATCCATCTTGGAAAGACAAAGCCCAAATCAGGTGCCAAGCTGGAATCCACATGGTCCTCCCTGACTTGTTCCAGCTGAGCTTGCCAGGCAGCATGAATTTAAGCATCCATCCTCCTCCTTGTGGATCCTGAGCATCTCCAGGCCATGTGGGAGCAGCTCATGGGTGTGAAACTAATCCTGAGTGGGCTGCAGGTGATGCTGGCAGCAAAGAAAAGGGTTTGATAGCACTGCATCAAGAGGTGCTGCAATCCTTCCCTATGGGATCTGGGTCCTGCCTGCCATGTCTCACAGCAATGGGAGAGCAATTTCCCAGTGCCCAGTGTTTCTGGCAGGAGGTTGCTGGAATGAGCAGGACACACACCTGGGACCAATGTGTCTGTAAAATAAAACAAATCCTGCTTGCTCAACTTGCCTTTCAAACAAAAAATCCCAACCCTGAATAAATCTGCCTAAAGCAAGGAACTCATCCGTGGGTGCTGCTGTGGAACAGGAATGAAAGCTACCTGGTGAAACTTTCATGCTCAGGGTGTCCAGCAGGAAGGCAGGAGTGGGGGAAAAGGCTGGAGACCTCAGCCTCCTTTGAGCTGCTGGTGCATGCTGCTTGTGGCCCCTTCGCTTCCGTAGCATTTCCTTTCTGAGTTCATTTATAGCCTCAGGTACATTCCCAGGATTAAAAAAAAATTCCCCCTGTCTTTCCCAGCCCACCTTCCTTGAAACCACTGGAAGGCTCCTATTGCTGTGCTGTGTCCTACCTCCTCCCTTGCCTGGTCCCTGGAGCCTTTCCTCACTCCCCCAGCTCCTGCTGATGTTTAATGGAAAAGGGGATAAATCTGTGCAACAGCCCAATAGAATTACAAACATCACAAACACTGTAAACTCCTGAGGTGTGGGGTTTTTTTGGCAGATGAAGAGCCTGGCAATGAGATTCCCCAGAGTGAAAGCTACCAGTATGACCAGTGGTTTGAGCCTGTGCCATCCCAGGGACAGAGCTCCCAGGAGGATGTGTCCCTCAGGTCCCCAGCACCTGCTCAGGTCGTGGCATCACCGCTGCCCAGCGTGGGGAGAGACCTGCAGCCCCCTGTGCCTGGCCAAGAGACACGTCCCCCTCTGGGAGGGGATTCTGCTGAGCCCCCTCCACAGACACCGCTGCCAGCAGGTAAGTGCTGCAGCCTTGTTTCCCTGCAAAAATCACAGAATCCCAGAATGGTTTGTGTTGGGAAAGGTTGTTAAAGATCATATAGTTCCACCTCCCTGCTACGGGCAGGGACACCTTCCACTAGAGCAGGCCCCATCCAGCCTGGCCTTGGATGCTTCCAGGGATGGTGGGGCAGCCACAGCTTCCTTGGGCAACCTGTGCCAAGGCTTTACCACCCTCACAGCAAGAAATTTCTTCCTTAGAAGTTGCCTTTGAGATGCACCAGTTCAGCCTCACCGCTTACTCCCTGGTGCTGGCAGAGCAGGGACCAGAATGGCCTTTGGCATCTCTTGGGGGACATCTTGGCCACCACATGGATGGTTGTGCTCTGGAGAGGGGCATGGTACAAGCTCTGAAAATACCTCTGATGGATAAATCCATAGTTCCACAGATCAAACCTTGACTGTGTCCTTCCCTCTGCTCCACAGGAGAAGGTGGGGAGCCCTGGGGTGCCAGGCTGTCCCCTGGAGGGGTGCAGCCAACCCTCCCCTCAGAGCAGGTGAGTCAGAGGGGCCAGAGAGGCCATCCTGGCTGGATCTGGGATGTCTTGGCCCATCCTTCCATGCACCGAACTCGCATGGAATCCCCCCATCATGGTGCCAGTTGTTCCCTTGGGTGAAAGCTGTGTCCTGCTCTGGGTGCTGTTTCTGTGCAAGGCATGCGGGATCCCTGGGGATGCTTCCCACTAATCTGGTTGTGGAACAGTCCCCAGGGGGGCTCTGACCATGCTTGGTGCAGCTCCTGTGGGGACAGCACGTGGCAGCTTCCATGTCTGATGGCAGGAGGAGTTACTGACCAGGGTTCGGACTCCCTCGGAGACCTCCACTGTCTCCCTGGGGGACAGTGCAGATGAGGATCCTGCCGAGGAGCAGGCAGAGGCCATGGAGCCAGAGGAGGACAAGGTGAGCATGCCAGAGCCATCATGAGCCTCATGCACTAAGCTTGCCTGTCCCTGGAAAATGCTGTCCACTCCCAGCAGGCACCTGGAGGACCCTGGCACCCACCCTCTCACCCCTTCTTATCCCTTTCCACTCTATTCCTTCATTTCCCAGAGCTCTGGATTCAGGTGGTTTGGCTGGTTTCGGTCGAAACCCACCAAGGAAACTTCTCCCAAAGCTGAGTCTGAGACAGGCTCAGACTCTCCCACAGCAGGACCACAGGTAGGGGACAAAATGCCATCCTGTCCCTGGTGTCATGCAGGGAGAATGGGTGACACATCTTCCCATCACCCGTTGTTTCTCCCTCTGTCCTCATGCAGGGGCCATGGCCATTCCGTGTGGGAGCCCTTTTAGCCTGGAAGTGAATCCTTGATAAATAATAACTGTAAATTCATATAGCCTCTTTCACCCATGAGATCATCCAAGCCCTTGGCAAACTCTGCAGGGATCCCTTGCCCTCCATTGGAGCAGAACACAGCAGCTGTGAGCAGCACTGCTCTGGCAGGTTTTAGGAGGTGCAGAGAAGGGAAACTTCTAAACTTCTTTAATTGGAAGTGCAGCAGAGAGGGGGAAGCAGCCATGTGTGGTTATCCCAGACCCAGCTGGCTCCTAAGGGCATCACATCCCTGATGGCTCAGAGCTTGGAGCGAGAACCTCCCCTGGAAATTTCTTCCTGGTAGGGAATGATCTACTGTCCCAGAGCAAAAAAATGTTGGGATATTCTTCTAAAACTAGCAGGAGATGAAGAACAGAAGGGGACCCATGGACCTTGGCCCCTCACACTGTACCCAGGCTTGGTGTCCAGCCTCCTGCCTGATTTTGAGCCCTCAAGATGATTTAGCTTTGGGCCCGAGTTGCTTGCCCTGACCCTGTAGCCCCTCCTTGGCTGTGTTTCCTGCAGCTCCTGGGGTACCTGTGCAGCAGGATGGCTGCAGTAATGGGTACCCCAAAAGCCCAGTGTGATATCTGGTGCAGAGGTCTCCTCCCAGCTCAAGGAGCTTCTGCTCTAAGCACGTGGATGTCATTTCAGGAGCAGAGGTCACCATCCCCACCCATAGCCCCTCTGGCAGATGGGACAAACCCTTTGGCTCAGCCTCTCTCCAGAAATCCTGGTAAATACCACACAGTTCCCCTCAACTCTTTCCCCCATCACCCTTTTACAAGTTTCTCCTCTTAATTTTAAGCTGGGTTTTGGTTTTGGTTGCTGGCCCTAGGAGGAATGCAGGGTGAGAGTACCTTTGCTGTTAGTCCAGTGTCTGCAGAGGTGAAAGGCTCGTGGGAGAAGGATGGAAGGCAGTCAGCAGGACAGCAGGTGAGGAGGAAAGCGTATCCCTGTGTGATGGGGGTGTCCAGGACACCTCTCTGCTCGGGGTGGCTGTTGACTTTCTCTCTCTTTGGTCCTTCCAGGCCGGCTACCCCGGACCTCTCCCACCATTGGCTTCAATTCCTCTCTTCAACCCTGCCCAGGTCCCTCAGGTGAGAGCATTTCCCTGAGGGAGTGGTGCTGCATGGGACCCGGGGTGGCTTGTGATTTTGGGCAGGAGAAGTGTCCTGGATTTTGGGGTGGTGCCAGATTTCAGGTGAACTGCTATGGGTAGGGGTGTTTAGGTAATGCCCGTTTTGGGAATAAGGGTATTTTATATGTAAATCAATTGTGGGAGGACAGCAATAGGGTGTGATGAATGAGCAAAACGTAAGGAGGATGGTTGTGGTTGCATCCTGATGATGGCAAATCAACATTTTGGGGTACAGCCCATTGCTCACACCACCTCTCTCTCTGTGTTTCCCAGCTTCCTGCCCGACCCACCCAGCCCAGGCTGCTTTCCCGGCATCGCTACCCCAACCCACTGTGAGGCAGACACCAATCGCACAAAGTTTTTTTAACCAAAATGGCATTTGTGGTTATTTTGGATGGGGTAGCAGTGGTTGGCCTGGTTGGTGGAGGGTGTTGTAAAATAAGGCAGAGTTTTCTGGATTTAAAAGTCAATAAATGGGGGGCATGAGGCTGGGAGGGAGGTGAGTAATTTGGCAATCCAGGTGGGAACACATGCCTCTACCTTCCTCTTCCACAAAATTTAGGTCTGGTTTACCTATCTCATTGTTCCTGTCCCTTATGTGTAGTTCCTGAAGTCCAGTGCAATATTTCTTTTTAGCTTTCTTTGCTAACATGTAGGTATTTATACACAGATATTTTAATGAAGTCCCCCCTCTTCACTCACTCAGCCTTTCCGCATGAGCGAGATGCTCCTTGATGATCTTCGTTGCCCTCTGCTGGGCTCCAGGTTTGGGGTGTTGAAATCAGTAATAAATAGGGGGAGGAGTGGAACATTGAGGTGTCTGGGGGTGGTGAGGAGGGTAGAAATGGGGGTGGGAGTGTTAAAAATAGGTCAGAAACTGTTGTAAAGTAGTTGATAATTGTTAAGTATGCACTGTTGTAAAGGGGTTAAAAGGGTAGTTTTAAGAAATACGGTACTCAGCGTACCATATTGCACCTAAGTAAAGTGCACCATCCTCCCAGCGGCACCAGCCAGCCTGGACAGAAGTGGGGCAAGCAAGGACCTTAAGCCTCCATAGAAATGAAGGATCCAAACAGAAACCAATCCGAAGGGAAAAAAACAAAACAAAACAAACAAAAACAAAAACAAACAAATAAAAAAAACAGGATAAAAGGGGCATCTGACCCAGTGAATTTGTGCCGCTCCACCTGGAACATCGGAGACATCGCTCCTCAGGAAGACCCAGCGCTGGCGCTGCCTGCTCCTCGATGGGAACGCTGCTGCTCGACCTGCGGCACCCCTTGTTCGAGGCCTTGCTTTTTACGATAATAAATGCTGCGGTCGGTTTTAGTACCGGGAGCGTGGCACACCAGGAGGACGGCGAGAAAGCGGAACCAAAAGGCGTCCGGGGGAGAGTAGTCTGAATTGGGTTATGGGGCAGCGCCCCACCTCACCCATTGGACTCAGCGCGCCGGCCGTGAGTCTGTCTCAAAGCACCGCGGGGCCACGAGCATCCGCCGGGGCCCGCGCAGGGACCGCCGCGGCTTCTCCTGCCCGGGCCGGCCCGCGCGGCGCCCCCCCTTGCTGGTGGCTCACCCGCCCGTCGCGGGCGGGGCCCTGCTGGGGCCGCGGGCGGCCCTTCCCTCAGACCTTCCCCGAGGCGGGCCGCGGGTGACGCGCACCCCGTGGGTGGCCTCGGCAGTGAGCTTCCCCCGGACGCTGCTCCGCGCGCTTCAGCGTCTATATAAAGGCTCGCCACAGCGCTTCTTCCAGCTTAGGGTGAGACGCTGGCTCTACCCAGCGTGCACTGCAGGATATGCTGATTTGGAGTCGCCCATTGGTCGGAAGGGGATGGGGCGTGTCTCGTGTGAGGGTAAAAGCGCAGGCGCATGGCGGGGCTCGGAGCCGCTGCCTGAGGGGCTGCGCGAACCTTTGGGGCGGGCGGTGGGGCTGCAGCCTGCCCGCGACAGGCTGTGGATCTCCGGCTGAAGGACTGCGAGCCTAAAGCTTGCCTGGGCTGGGCTGTGGGGTGGGGAATCCCCTCGTGAAGGGATGTGGGGCTGTGGCCGCTCGTGGCGGACTGTGGGGTTCGTGCCCCGCTGATCCGAGCTGCGGTCCAAGCCCTGCTGGTAGCGGGCTGTTGGGTGGAGTGCAGGGCCCTGGGCAGCTCCAGGGGCGGGCTGGCGGGGCCAGCTCAGTGTGTGCGTGCTTTAACCACGGCCACAGTGCAGGCGCTGCTGGCTTTTAATATATCGGGGTATCAGGTAAACTCGGGGCACCTGCGTGGGGCGATCCAGGTGCTGTCACCTGGCTGTCCCTTCTTCCAGGGCCTGGCTAACTCCTGGGATACTGCCCTGGGGTGAGCCTGGCTAACTGCAGCGCACAATTCCAGTGGGTTTCCTGAGGATGGGTGCCTAATTCTGGGATTAGGAATTCTGGGATGTCCTCACTGCACTGTGTCCTGCAGCTGTGCACCCACACACCTTCATGTCCCTCAGTCACAGCTGGGCAGCTCTTTGGGTGGTCAGTATGTTGCTTTTTGGCCTGGCAGAGACTTTTTGCTGCCCTAAGGCCCTTTGAGTTGGTTTAGAGGGGTGTGAGTGTGCAAATCTCTCACCTCAGGGCTTAGACATCCTGCTCGTCCAAGAGTGAACATGGTCTATCCTGTTGCTCAGGCAATCTCTTTTTCAGAGAAAAATTATAAATACAGGAGACTTCTTGCTTGTGGAAGTTGCAGATCTGGCAAATAACTGTAGAAATAAATCCTATGATTTTAGGTTTGCTGCTCAGGTTTTTGGTTTCTGATTCTGCACTTCATCCCCCTGAGGTTGTAAGGAGTCAAATAGCAAAACTTTTCTGAAGAAGAGTGTGCTGCAAATTCCCTTAGACTCACTGAGCAGCCATGCATGTGAAGTACAGGAGGTTCTTTGCTTGCCTGTTGCTCTCTTGATACCACGTTTGGACATTTGGAGATCAAGGCTCACAGAAGAGTTTAGAGGCTGAATCAGCCTTAACTGATGCACCTGTCTTGGGTATCAACATCAGTTAAAGAACTAAGAAAAGAGTCTGTGGCATCTTCCACCCAAGGTAGTCTCATTTTTGGTGAGGTGTGATTTTCCATTAGCTATTCCATTATTTATGTGGGAACATGGAAGTAGGGCAGCTCTCTGCTTGGATTAAGAGGGCTGAAGGAAGCTGATTTTTTTTCCTGTGGGGCTTTGTTTTTCTTCAGAGGTTGGGAATATCACAAGGAACCTGGATATGTGGAAAGTTTGCCTGCGAGTTGCTTTCTTGTGGCCTCCCAGTGAACTCGAGGTAAACTGGGACTAAGACTCCCTTTTCCTTCTCCATCCTCTCCCGAGAGCAGTGGAAATGCATTAACATGATGCTAATTGTTAACGTGATGGATGGCAGCAATTAGGGTCTGTAATCCAATCTCTGCACGTGGAGTGCTGTACTGCAGCCTGGGGAAGCTCTCTGCTAAACACCCTGAGCTGGCATGCAGCATTCCAGGAAGCCCTGGGGTGCTCCTAAATGCTACTGCTCTTGGAGGGAGTTGTGTGTGTTCCCTGCACTGGGCTAACTGTGCCTGAAACAGCAGTTAAATTCAGATTTACAGCCCTGTTTTGCTGGCTGTTGCTTCCTCCATCAGCATCCCCCTGGTCAGGGTTGCTGAGGGGAGGCACTGCTGTGCCTGACATGGCAGTTTGGGCATCTCTGTCCCTGATGCTTCCAGTCCCACGTGGATCCCACTGGGCATGGCAAGGCCATGCTCATTTAGAGCTGTTATTTATTAAAAGAAGTACTGGGTGATGACCCTGTCTGTCCCTTCAGCTCCTGGTGACATCAGTGATGCAGCTGGTCTTGTGAGGTCACTCGTTTCCTTTTGTTTAATGATCTGCTGGTGAAAACAGATCCATTGCTCTCTGGAGTGTCACTGGGACATGAATATTGATGAAACCTCGGTGGTCCTGGTGCTGTCACAGCGTGGAGGGCTCATTTGGAGCTGCCAGGCAGTGTGGGGAACTCTGTGATGGAGTGATAATAAAGTGTTGCTGAACTCTGCTCCGAGGTGCTGCTCAACATTTGGAACTTGCAGGCTCCTGGCACAGCAGCAAGAGGCTGGGCTGGTGTTGTCCAAAGCAGGGACACAGCACTGAGAGCATTAACAGGGGAGGGATTCATCCCTCAAACATCCATAGGGGTGCTGCAGGTGTGGGAGAGTTTGTTGGTTGCAGCTTCAGGTGGCAAATGGTTCAGTTAATGAACCTCATATTTTCCTAACCTGAATATTTTCCAAGGTGGAACTGGGGTGAGGGCAGATGCGATGCAGCATCTCTTGAAACGGTCATTTTGGGCTGTTGGTATGGAAATCACTATAAGAAATGGAGTGTGGCTGTTATAGATACACAAAGGAAGAGCATGATTTTAAATTTGCAGACTGCATTACTCCAGGTGAGTCCCTTCCAGCTTCTGCTACCCTGTGTAGAAAAGTCAAGGTGACAACTGAGTTACAGTAAACAAAACAGATTTTTCTTTGAAAAATGAGGTATTTTACATGCTGATTTAGAATAGATCACGCAGTATGCTGTGCCTTTAAAAAGAGTATATTTAATATACATGCTTGAATGGCAGAGACAACCCCAGGTCTTGTTCTGAACCCTGATGTAGCTCCTGCAGTGAGAGCCCTGGGTCAAGATGTATGAATGGTTGGTTGGTGACCTTTATTTTCCTAACTGTGGAGAAGGATCTGCTTCACTCAGTGTAATGCAGATCTGACCTGTTTTTGCTTAGAGCACTATCTTCCCTTCCTGCCCTCAGGTGTTCTCTGTCTAGAGAGGTTGCAGGAGAGCCCTTCTGCAGGGATTTCTGCTGGATTGAGGCCATAGGATGCTGGTAATGGACACTAAAAGATGCACACTCTCCCTCAAAACCTTCATATAACAGTGCCTGTAGGAGCTGCCTCTTGCTGACTGGGTTTTTGCACCGTGTTATTTTGCTGTGCAGCCCCTTGCTACACTGAGGGACTGTACCAAACCCCTCTGATCAAACAGAGCATTGCCTTTCTTACAGGTCCTGCCAGATGTGGCACAACTGAGTTAATTTAGGTTTTGTTTTTTTTTTAAAGTGGATATTGGCTTGTGTGATTTCCAAATCAATGGTCAGTGCCAGCTGTTGTGTCTTAGCAGTGTGGAAAACCTGCTGTAGTAGAAAGACTACCAGGCTGCCTTTGGAAAGGGTTCACAAGGAAACAGATGCAGTTGGACTCGATAGTCTTAGAGGTCTTTTCCAACCTTAATGATTCCATAATTCATATTTCCTCATCTTTGCTAGGGCACATTGGAGATCCTCAGCCCTCTAAGGATTTTAGGAAAGACTGTCCCATTAAATCCCTTCAGAGCTTGTGCCCATGCACCAGTGTTTCTGGAGCATGATCCTTATGAATAAGAAGTAGGAGGGGCTGTGAACCCTGAGGGATCTGTGCCACTGCTCTTGGAGATTTAAGGGTCTGAATGGTACCGTGAGGATGTGGATTATATTCATGCTGGGGGGGAGGAAGAAAAAAAAATTATTACGCTTTTGGCAGTATAGGTTAGAAGCATCACCTTTCCTGACATGTTTGTCTTGAGAGGAGATGGTATCCAGTGGTAGGGTGAAGAGAGGTTGCATGCTGTCTGGTGTTAATTACAAAGGGGAAACCACAGGAAAATCAAACAAAATTGAATCCCACTGCATTTGATATTCCCAGAGTTGAAGGCCTCAGTACGTCTCATTAGTTTAAAACCCCTGATGGAGAGAGCTCAGCTTCGAATGGGAAAATTGATATGACATTGAGACCTGGGAGAGGATTAGCTGCCTGCCTCAGAACTTGTCCAGAGGAGTCGAACATGCAAATGTTCCCAGAGAGCAGCTCCCTGCAAGAAGGATCCTGGATAATTAAGGCCCCTGGGACCACACAGTTGCAGTGAGGGAGGGATGAGGTCTGTATGTCTGAAAAGTCCTTCCACTGCATTCTCTCTCTGTGGGGGAAATAATGCCTGGGCAGTACAGACAAGCCCAAAGCTTTGTGTGCTTGACTGCTGGTGACAGAGATGATCTGTTCCACCTCAGTGGGATTTGCAGATGCTGGATTAGGATTGAGCGATGCAGGATACGGCATTCTTGGACTGATG